TTTTGCTTGTGTTAGGGTGTTAGCGCAGTGCTCGTGCTGTCGGCTAATCACTTGTGAAGGAAAATTCCTGAAAAAAAACCTGCTGTAGAATCTTTTTTGTTTTACTTCTATGTTGTAAAGGGTGATGGAGCTCTAGTGCAGCATTAGCTCAGTGACACGAGTGCGTACCCGCAGTGCTCGTGCTGTCGGCTAATCACTTGTGAAGGAAAATTCCTGAAAAAAAACCTGCTGTAGAATCTTTTTTTTTTTACTTCTATGCTGTAAAGGGTGATGGAGCTCTAGTGCAGCATTAGCTCAGTGACACGAGTGCGTACCCGCCGCAGAAGCGAGGAGGAGAGCTCTCTTTGTGTGTCACTGCTGTGGGATGTAGCTGGAAATCTATTGTTTCAGTGATGAGTCATGCAGGAGATAGTAGATGTTATGAAGCAAGACAGCTTGGAGACGTGCAGGGGCAAAAGACTTCCCGCATAACAATCCAAAATGGGAGTTTATGGGCTACCATAGTCCCCTTTTCCTAAGCTGATGTTAACGTCGTGGCTGAGGCTGGGAGTTTTGTCTGTGTCCCAGAACAGCACTGCTTTAAGCTGAAGGAAGAGGCTCCGTGTGTCTGTTTTACGTGTGTGATGGTTTTATAGTCCTCCTAGTCAGTGCGCTCGCTGGCTAATGTTAATATTCTCAGTTCTGTGGTTCACAGATGGTGAACGTGCTCTGGATGTAGATGAAGTTAAATACTTGAGATGTGGTACTAGGCTATGTTGGTTATTACACTTTTTACCACTGGAAGGGATAGTAATTATTACCCAGCTACCCCACGCTAAGAGAATATTTTGTAAACTGATGCAACAAGTGAGGATCTAGAATCCATGGGAAGAAGTGCTGGCTGTAAGGCAGAGAGGGGCAAATGTGATCCAACAGCACACTGTTTGATCGTCTTTGAAGGCAGAAATTATTGTTGATCACGAAGGGCTTTCTATGTATAAGGAGAAGCATGCAAGAATGTGTAGGGATGCTATCTTTATACTGGAATCTGCCCCAGGTAGGGACTGCCCCAAGTGTTTGTACAGCAGCCAGTACAGCACTTCCCCAGGTAGAAGCAGATGCTTTGCGTTCTGTTGTAATAAACATAGTTATTGTTTCTGTTGTAATGGAACATATCAGGGATAAAATTAGTGACAGAGCAGAAGTGTCAGTGCAAACGGAGACTAGTTCAGGGAAGTCACTAATACCAGGAAGAGGACTGGCATGAGAGGGAGGAGGCAGTCGTTTGAACTTCAGGTAACAGGAAAATGGTAGGGGAGAACACAAGCAAAGATGTAGCTGGAAAACACTATTTGGGCAACAACAAAGTATTCAAGATTGGCTTCCTTCCCTTTCTTTCTTCTTCCTCTTCTCCTCCCTTCAGAGGCATGCTCTCATTTAAACAAGAATTCAGAGAAGTCTTGCAGGCTGTTTTACACCCACAGTTATACTGGGTAATTCTGAGAATCTGGTCTGGCCTTAAAAGCAATCCAGTTTGAGAACAACTTTAAAAAATCCAAAATAAAGTTAATTCAAGGCTATCGGGGTCTAAAGACGACGGAGCTACTCCTGAGCGCTTGGTTTTGCAAGGGAGAACAGCCACGAATCCCGGACGTCCCTGCTGTCCAGTGTAAATATGATGATGAACGTGATTCCCTGTATATGTCTCCAGCAAAGCAGACTGGGTAGGGCACACTGCTCTCAAACTTGCTCTGTTCTCTACTTCTGCAAAGTCACCACTGCTACAGCAAGGAACTGTCCACCTGGCAAAGGTAGCAGCACACAGTGCCTGTGCTGGCTGCCGTGGGAGCTCTGACGGACTGTCGTTTGTACGTTCAGTTCTTCATATAACGAAGCCAGAGCCTAGCTGGTAGGAGGGCCTAGACACCAACTAGATGGCAAAATGTAATAAATTCTTAGTCTGTTTCTTTTTCAAACCTAAGAGCAGAGGAGAAAAGTCTTCCATTCAGCCAGGCATTCCTCATCCTTCTTTTATGAGGAAGAAGACTGAAGGAAGGGGAGGGGGGGAAAGGAAGGTGTGGGATAAAGGAGAGCAGAATGATTTTGGGAGGGAAGAAATTGATTAAAGTAAGGCTGGCCCTCTTCTTGGGGATTTCTGGAAATGTGGAATGCTGCAGTATTTGCACGTGAAAACCTGCTGTATGAGAAATAGCCACTGGTGTAGAGTCATGCACAGTTCTCGTGTGAAACCGTGCAGGGGTGCAGATTAGACTATTTCATTATCCTGCTTAGATGTACATTATCCATCTGACCATCTTATCTCAATAAATCTACTGATGAAAACATAGCCTAGGGACCTGGATGAGCTCACATTGGCATCTGGCTCTGCCAGTGCTGTCAGTGTAAAGTGAATTTGGGCAAAGGACTTACCTGCTGGCCATTCATGAGATCAGCAGTTTCCTATCTGCCAAGGATACCAGGAGATTACGTTCGTTAGTGTTTGTAAAGCAGTCAGATTCCAGAGAGCAACAGAAAATAGATCAGTATTAAAGCCATACAATCCTTCTGTGGCACAAAGATACAGGAATACCTGAGAGAGGCTGTCAGTGAGAGAAAGCTGTTTTTCCGACAGCACTATTGTAATTTGCTTTCTTGCATAGAATTGTGAGGGAGGCATCGCTTCTGCCTCATTATGAGGGGAATAGGTGCTTGGTAACCCTATCAGGTGAGAGTTTGTGTTCATTTTCAAAATGCCGTTGCTTTCAGCCAACCAAGAAATCCACAGTGGTGAGTCTTTCTTTGTCACAGGTTTTGCAGGAGTAGTTCAAGAAGGCCATGGCCAGCTTGAGTTCTGTCCAACTTGTTCTGCCTGTCTGGATAGGTTAGAGGCCGCTTCCCAGCTGGACAGGCATGGTAAAGGGCTGTATTTGTGTGTGGTTCATCACTGAAAAAGAGCTTTTTGAAAGCAAGAGAAAAAGGAGGAACCACTGAAGGAAGCAACAGTTAATTCATCTTCCCTTTCTCCTTGGACTTCCAGGGAAGTTAGGCCAGCTGCTTTTATCTTTGTCTGTTTAGTATTTATTTTCCAGGTTTACAGTTACTGGGTGCAACTTGAATGTTCTCAAGCTTTGGGGAGTAATGCAGGGTAAAGTTATTGGGAGAGCATTGTATACTACACTGTAATAAATTCACATTCTTTGGGACATGAACTGAGGCCTGCAAAACTATGAAACAAGTCCGTACCTTAACACCTATCCTTTTCTTCTACGTTGTACATTGCACTGTCAAACTGGAGATCCCTGAAGCACCCAGAAAAAGGCTGGTGGCGCAAGAGGTTTGATAAATCTATGTAGATACAGAAAAGG